CGGCTGGTGGGGCCAGACCATTCTGCGGCCGGGGCCGTGGAGGAGCGGAGCTGGGGCTGCGCAGGAGCTGTTTTCGCAGTCGGGCTAGCGGCTCTTGCCTCGCAGGCGCCTCCTCGCGCCTCCCGAACCCCGCCTCTGCGTTCCTTTCTCTGCCTAGGGCGCCTTGAGACCCCGCCCGCGCTGGGGGACACCTTTCCTGGGGCCCCGGCAACTCGGGTTTAAGGCAGCAGGCTCGGAGAACACGTTCGATCACTGGGGTTCCCAACTTACCCGCCAGCCCCGGGCGCCTCTTGCAAGTTTTCGGGATCCCTCCAACGCTTTCTTGGACTGGGATCTGGTGCTGATTTGGAGACCCACGCCTTGCCCCGGGGAAGCCGAGGGAACAAGTTTGTCAGTGGCAGGCAGAGATGCCACGGAAATGTGGAAGCTCGCCTCGGGGAAGGAACGTGGAAGGGCTTGTCTCCGTCTGGCTTCCTTTTCTCGCGGAGGCGAAGTTACCGGTTTAAGGGGAGGGGAATAGAGGAAGAGGCGCCGAAGCCGCCTTTTATCTTTTCCCTCCATTTGCTCTCATCCCGTTTTACCGACCTAAATCGTTGCCCCCAGCACGCACTCATTAAGGACTTCTGGATGCCCAGCGCTGTGCCAGGCACTAAGAAAGTGGGCGAAGTGAGGCCAGAGGGGACCGAGCCCGAGTGGGACCGGGAGGTCATCTGGAGGAAGTGACAAGAGTTTCAGAGGACCCGCCAGGGACTCAGGAAGAAAAAGTTGTACCAACCAAGGACAGGGTTTGAGGACAGTCGAAGGTTGTAGCTGGTGCACAAGCTTTTGTATACAGTGGCAGGAGGAGGTCCACTGATTCTGAAGCGCTTCTACGGGCAGAAGATATATTTTTTTAAAGATTTATTTATTTATGCATACAAAACTGGGGTACAGGACAGAGGTGCAGGCACTGTGAGAGGCTTCACCAGAAACAGTGGGGAGCACATAAGAGGGATCTACTGAAATACATTGCTGAGGGGAGCAGTGGTGGGTCAGGAGAGGTCTGATGCACCATGTGGGTCACCTCGGGGGCAGGGATCAAACTCATGCTGAAGTGGCTTTAGCTTTAGTGCTGTGCTTTAACCCGCTGCACCACCAGGGAGGGCCCTAGAGGGCCATATTTAAGGAGATGCTCCCTTTTGGGGGGTTGAGAGGGCCTGGAGAGTGAGTGCCTCACTCTAGTTCCCACCCTGTATGCCAAGTGAAGGATATAGCCTTGCTCTGAACGCACAGGGGTGCATTAGGAGGTTTTTAGCACTAGTGTGCTCAGAGTCATTTATAGGCAGGAGGTGGTATGATTTGGGATGAGGGGAGACATTGGAGAGACTTGGCTGAGGGTAGCTCTCCTACTACTGGGGGACATCTCTGTTCTGGACCCCCTTCCAGTTTTAGGGTGTCTTTGCCTTGAACTCTGGTAGCCTGTAGCTGTTAGATGTGGTCATCGCTTTATCTCGTGTGTGCAGCTTCCAGATGCAGCATCTTACTCAGCCTTTTAGAATTTTATATATGGTGAGACAGACCCAGAAAGGTTACATCATTACTGGCAAAAACCAGGGCTAACCACAGTGCTTTTCTGGTCTCTGTTCTTACCTCCACTTTGGCTGCTGATGAGTGATGTCTCTACTGACTCCTGCTCCCTGCTAGCCAAGGTGTTCCCTGGGGATGCAGGAGGGGCTGACCCTTTGGGTGCCTGCCTCCCTCTGTGGGACCTTTAGGCACAGTCTGGGTGTCATTTTTGGTCAGGAGAGTAGGCAGGATCATCCTGTCCAATTTCTAGGGTACTCAGATGCATTCCCCGACACATCCTTGCTTTGCTTACCAACCTTGCTATCTATCAAGGTAACTCTGTCCAGTTACCATCATGTTCTGTTGAGCATCTTTTATACTGTAATCAAAGTAACTCATGCAAATGACTAAATAAAATCACACAGAAGGGCTTAGAGCTACAAACAGTAGTCCTCTGTTTCATCTCTTCACCAGAGACAACCATGTTCTTTTAGCTGTTTCTACCAGAATTAAATGTATACTTCCAAATGATAACATACAGTGTAGCACTTTGTGTGTATCAGATCCTACTCTAAGTTCTTATACATATTAGTTCAACCACAGTTCTTCAAAAAGGAGCCTCTACTACCCCCCATTTTACAGATGGGAATATTGAAGCCCAAGAGGTTAAGTCCCTTACTCAATGTCTGGTTATAGTAGAACTGGGATCTGATCCCAGGTGGTCACCAGAGGCCACAAACTGGGACCTGAACCCAGGTGGTCTCCAAAGGCCACACTCTTAAAAGCTGTATCAGCATCTTCCCTCTAGTTCAGTGTTTACCTACTGACTTCCTTTTATAACATGGCCCACTTACACCTCTCCCATCTTCACAAGATGATTCTTTTTATCACTATTTTCAGTTTTTCCCTTTGGTAACTTCGTAATCTTAGGGAATATGCATGCACCATTCTTCTTGGTAAACCCTAGACAGGATCTCTTAATTCCCTTTTTATTTTTTTTAAGATTTATTTTATTTATTTATGCATACAAGAACTGGGGAGCAGGCCAGAGGTGTGAGGGTGAGAGGATTCACTATGGGCAAAGTGAGGAGCAGAACAGGCAGATCTACTGAAGGGAGCAGGAAAGGTCTGCTGCACCGTGTGGGGGTCAGCTCCCTGGCCAGGGATCGAACTCATGCCGCAGTGGCAGGCAATAGCTTGATAGGGCTGAGACTTAAGCCCTGTGCCACCAGGGAGGCCCCTTGATTCCCTTTTAAAAGGAGACTATTGATCCCCTACCCTAACCATTAACCTTTCTCCCAGCTCCCATTGAGTATAGTTTTACTCTCATATTGTCAATTTACCTGCTGTTTTTTTTTAACCATCATTGTCTTTCCTGCTTTGTCTGTGAGTTGATTATAAAATTTAATTATATTAGTTTATTTTTACATATTTTTGTGATTTTTCCATCTCAGTTGCAATCCCCTTGGGGTTCCCATCACCAGGTCACCCATGTGCCATCACCATAGTCTGGTGCATTTCCCTCACCCCATTCCCTCAGTGTTTTTCTGGTCTCTGTTCTTACCTCCACTTTGGCTGCTGATGAGTGATGTCTCTACTGACTCCTTCTGCTCCCTGCTAGCCAGGGTGCTCCATGGGGATGCAGGAGGGGCTGACTCTTCCAGGGTGCCTGCCCCCCTCTGTGGGACCTTTAGGCATGGTTGTCTCTGGTGAAGAGATGAAACAGAGGACTACTGTTCCCCACTCCACCCCCACAAAATGTCTCTGGTATATAGCTGTTGATCATGATAATAAATTTTAAAAGTCAGTATAGAGTGTTTATATTAACTAAAACATGTAAGTTTATTCATAGCCAAGTAATATTTAATTTACTTTTACTGCTTTCATTTTTCCTAGAGACTCTAATTGCCTTTCTTTTTTCCCCACTTTTATTTGCCTTCATTTCCTCATTTTGTGTTAAAACTTTCCAACAGATTGGGTGTTTTGCCATTCTCTCTATAAAGCCAAAGCCAGCCTCTCCATAGTCCCTATTCATGGGTCTTTGCTTGCTTCTACCCTGGCTGAGATTCTTTCCTTTCAGAGGCTGTTGAGTGATTTACATATTTCAACTAGATGGTCTGTACTTCCCAACAGTCTTAGTGTCTGTTTCCCCTTTGGGGGGTTGTAAAGCTGAGGAGAGTAAAGGCCTGCTTCCGGTTACCTGCTACTGTGCTATTGTTCCTGAGAGTAGCCTCTGGGAAGATTGGATCTTACGGCAGGTGTAGGCTAGGGGTTCAGTGTGTGCAATCTGTGGATTTAGGAACTTGGAACCGGCTTGAGGTTGCTCCTCCAGGTCTGGGGCCGGTGGAGTTGCTGCCTCCACCCTCCTTGATCTGCCGCCTCCGGTCAGAGTTTCAACAGAGGGAACCAGATGCTTAGCAGTCTTGTTTTCCAAGATTGTCCTGGACCTGCCCTGCTAACTGGACTAACGACAAGACCCCCATTGCCTGAGCTGCTTCCTAAGGTGGGGAGGAAATTGTTACTGAGCTCCCAGTATCTGGTAGGCACCCACTGCACCCAGAGACCCACACCTAAGTTTCCCTCAGGCTTTCAAGTTGCCTTTATTCCTGTACCAAACACCCTACTCTGCCTGATTCAGAGCTTTTCAGAACAAAGCACTAAGGGCTCTTATCATCCTCCATCCAACTTTGTCAGGCCTGCGGTTCATCTCCTGCTTTTTGAGGCCTTGCTGTGGTAGTCAAGGGTCAGGGTGACCTCTGTGACAGTTGCTCCTCTCAGACCCTTGAGCTGTCCTCACACTTTCTGAGTGCCCGCCCAGTCTGAAGCCCCAGCCAGCCTTAGCTATTGTTCTCCACCAGAGAGCCAGGCCTGTCTGCTCTTGCAGTGTATTTCTACTTCCATGTCTGGGCCTTTGATCCTGCTCTTAGGCTGCAGGAGGCTTCCTTCCTTCCTTAAGGCTTTGCATACTGCTCCGGGGCACTGCTCCCTTTCTAACCTGGCTTGGCATGCCATCTCACTTATCATACTCTGAATCAGAAAAGTAAGCTATCAAGAGCAGAGGAATCATGCAGACCCAGATTTGGATTCTGCACAGTTCAGGACTCCTGAGCTGCGCATTGCAGAAAGCCAGTGTGAACGGCAACACCCTGAGGGAACAGGAATGTAGGGATCCTGGCCAAACCACTAGCCTCAGGGCAACCTGGAGCTGGGAATGTGGATACTCTCTGGGCTTTTCCTCCCTGATCCTGGCTCATCGCTGCTTCCTGCTCACCTGGCTGTCCCTTGCAGGCTGCAACTTTAACCATAGACAGCACTGGGCTTGCGTCCTTAGCACCCCAGAACCAGAAAGGAGGGCACTCTTTTCCATCAACTCTATTCCCACTGGGCTGGCCTGGGTTAACAGCCCTCCCGGAGGTCAAGGAAACATCCTCTCTTACCAGGAAAGGCTGGAAGTGGTAAAGAAGCTAACAAGGAATAGTCACTACAGCTCCTTACTAGGTAGGTAACCTTGGCTAAGCATTTAGCTTCTGTAAGCCTCAGTATCCTGGTTTGTCAAATAGGTGGCTAACAGCCCCTGCCTCTGGGGATTGCTGTGAGGATTAAATGAGGTGATAGGGTAGCTCTTAGGGCCCTCAGTAGAGGAGACAGAGCACCGACGAAAGGTCTCCACTCACCCTGTTTACCTGTCACCAGAGGACGATGAGATCCCCGAAGAACTTGTGTGTAACTCTGCCAAAACTCTGGGTTACTCCACCAGCGCAGCCCGGAGCATTCTGACCAGTGGCTGAAGAGTGGCCTTGACAGGAAAGCCTTCTGGGTGCCTCAAAACTTTCTGGTTGCCCCCTGAAAGAATGAGTGAGTAGTAACTGAGATTGGTTATACCTGAGTATAAGCCAGGTACTGAGCTGAGAACTCTGGAGAACTCAGTTCTGTGTGACACAGTTCCTGCTCTTGAGACAAACGGGAGGATAAAACTCTCACTGTGTCATCTCAGAACCAGTGGGCCACTTGCCACTGGAGGTGGGCAGGAGGTGGCAGGAACACTGAAGAGAGATCTGGACTCTGATGGGATTTCGGTGAGTTGAGAGAAACTTAACAGTCACTCCTCTTCCTGACTGTCTAGATAAGGGAGCTAAATCCAGCCTCGTCAGTCACATCATGGCCAGGACGGGAGTTAGGCATCCCAGCTGTGGGTCCCGTCGGTCCCAATCTAGTCTGTTAGGCACTGATTGTCCAGCTCAGGTCACATGTCCATCCCATGGGCCAGTCCGTGTGGACACCCGGATGGTCTAGCACCTAGTCAAGAGCTCTACCCCTAATCATTTAGGTTCAAATATTTAGCTAGGTGGGTTTGGGCTTCCATTTGTTTCACTTGTAATATGGGGATAAATGCCACCTCAAAGAGTTTCTGTGAGGGCTAAAAGTGAAATGAGAGAACACCCGTCAACAGTGCCAATAGTGCTGGCATAATGAGTTAGCTAACATCCTCCATCATCATCTTTCATAATTTTCAGTCACACTTGCACCCTTTGCCTCCTTTTATTTCCCCATCATTACTGGTAAGAAGGCCTGACAGCTATTGTGGCTGTCTGGCAGTTTCTCTGCTGAACCACAGAGAAGCAGAAGTCCACTCCAGAACGTCTCCCCCTTGGCTGCAGGGCCAGACCCCAGCGTTCCCTGCACATCATTTTCCTAGAACTTAGTCGTGTGTGTTTTCTCCTACCTCCCCACTCTCCTCCCCCCCCCGCCCCCCCGCCAGGCCTCTCTCTGGCTCACCTCAGCTTCCCATGGTGGGAGGGGAGAAGACCTCAGCCCTCTCTTGTGGTTCCTTCCCAGGCACAGCTCTGTCAAGACCGATAATGCTGCAGGCACAGCTCCCTTCCACCTGGACCTCTGGTTCTACTTCACCCTGCAGAACTGGATCCTGGACTTTGGCCGCCCCATTGCCATGGTGAGTGTGAAGCTATGGGCAGAGCCCAGCCAGTACTCACAGGTCTTACTGGGACTTAGTTAGGTGAGTGACCTTATACACCTCAATTCCCCTAAATTGCAAGGGTAGACCTGGGTGCTCTCACATACTTGGGCTTTATGACGGTGGCCAGTGAGGCAGCGGCCAGCAAGTAGGAGGTCTGTGTTGTCCTTGTGCCCCAACTCTTGCAGGGAACTAGTGGCCTCAGTAAACACTGTCCCCATATCCTGCATCCAGGTTTAACTACACCAGACAGAGCGGTGTGGAAAAGGAAGCAGCTCATCCCTGCTGCCTTCCCAACAACCTTGGGTGGTATCATTTTCCTGAAGGTGAGGATTATAGGCTGATTTTACACATTACATATGACTCTGAAGCTCTGGTGAAGCCATCTCTTTCCTTTCAAGCCCACTTCATACATCAGTGTCCACAAGTGGCCTCTGCTGAGGAGATTAAAATGGAAGAGCCCCAAAGCCCCTCGCCCAGGATAGACAGACAGGTAGGCTGCTAGATCAACACATAGATGGATACACACATATATCGTCGGTTGCTACGTTGAGGTAATTAATTCTGGAAGGGCACTAAAGCCCTTTACTTACAACAAATAGACACATAGGCCACAGCATGTGAAGAAAACAGAGTGAGGAACCCCCAAATACTAGGTTTTCATTTATATGTGGCAAAAATAAGACTATCCAATGCTGAAACTCACACCTTGTACAAACTAATGATAATACAGATTAGCAAAGCTCTTTAGAAAAGCAGTTTGTAAGTGCTAACTAAAATTTTAGTTCCTAAAAGAGTCCCTAACATGATAACAACAAAGTAAAAATAGCTATTTAATATACATTGCGCACTTAGTCTGTTGTAAGCACTTTATGTGTTTAAACTTACTTGATTCTCATATCAACACTATTATTAGTCTCAGGTTTATAGATGAGAAGATAGAAGATTAGGATAGAAGGAGGTGAGTGACTGGCCCAGAGTCAGCTAACTAGCAAGTAGGGCGCAGCCACTGAGCCCAGGCCCCCTCACCCAGAGCCTACCCTGCTCTGTCATCCACACAACCAGGTCCGCAGTATCTTTCTCCTGACCCAGTAAGATCCCTTCCACAGATCTGCCCTCAAGATGTCATCAGTAGGGAGCCAACAGTTTCTTTACCCAAAGATGGTCCTGGCAATGTTGCTTACAGAAGCCTAAGTGTGGGGTCAGCGCCCAGAAGCAAGGCCTGGATAAGTCCACTTTGCTACCTCCAGTCCTCTAGAGAGGGTGTTCCCCATTCGCATAAAGGGATTTATGGAAATTATAGAGCAGCCAGAGCAGTTAAGGAGAAAACAGAGCTGAAGCAGCAGGCACACTCTCTGACCACACGTCAGGAACAGTCTTCATGATCTTGGGGGCATGGGCTTGAGGGGAGTGAGGAAAAGCTGTCCTGGCGATGGGGTCAGTGAGACGTTGGGACAAGTGCCAGTATTTGCAGCCTTTCTGTGGAGGTCACATGGGAAGGGGAGACTGAGCCAGGAGTCAGGGTGCAGGCTTAGCATTGGGGGTGACCTAGACTACATGTCTGGGCTTCACTTCTCTGACTAAAATATCTGGTTGGATGAACTATGCTGAGCCCCTTTGCAGCATAAAAAGTCCATATATTGGGGCCTACAGGAGCTGCTTTTAGGGTGCTCAAGGAGGGGATGAGTGTAGGAACAGGCTGTCTTCATGAGGACTCGGCCTCAGCTATCCAGCAGGGGCCTCTTGTTGGACCGATTACTTCCCCTATCCTGCCCAGAGTTGCTACCACTGTAACCCTAACCTGAACTCTGAGGAGCCTGGCCAATAGGCCTGATAGTCCCAAGCTAGTAGTGATGAAAAAATAAAAACTTTCCCAAGCTATAGAAGTACTATGTCATAGGTGTAACAAGTCAGTTCACACCAGTATGTATGGATTAGACTCCCTTTTCTATCCCATCTCTGCAGTTTGGGGCACATCCTTCTACCCCTTTCTTGTTCATACAAGCAAAAATGCTTAATACTCTCTTTTTCTCTCCCTTTCTCCCTCCCTTCACATTTTTTTTGTTTTAGCCAAAATGAGACTTCATCCTTATTTATACCTTATTCTCTTTTTTCTAAAGATTGATTTATTTATGCATACAAGAACTGGGGTACAGGCCACAGGTGTGGGGAGTGAGAGGATCCACCAGAGACAGAGTGGGGAGCAGAACAAGCAGACTGATGGAGTACACCACTGAGCTGAGCAGCGGAGGGACAGGAGAGGTCCATGTGGGTCAGCTCCCTGACGGATAGAACTTGTGCTCCAGTGACTGTGGATTGCTTCCTAGGCTGCACTTTAACCCCTGTGCCACCAGGGAGGGCCCTATACCTTGTTCTACAACTTTCCTATTTCTACTCTGTCGTGGTTATTTTTCCATGTCAGTACATATGGGTGTCATTTCTATTAAATGACTACTTAACTTTCTATAATATAGGTGTACTATGATGTACTCTCCTAGTCATCTTTGGTTGAAGAGTTAGCCTTATTGCCGGCATTTGGCTATCACAGAGTATTTCAGCCATCACACGTATCTTGCTATAGATGAAGATACAGAGATACATATATATATTGAGGAAGAATGAGAGTGAGAGAAAGAGAGACTGAGGTTCCTGTATTCTGGAATTATTTCTTCAGGTTAGTTTTATTTAACATGGCATTTCTGGTAAAAGAGGTACATTCAAATTCTGATTGAAATTTTGGGTCATTGCATTTGTCCCTAATCAACAGATAATTGGAAGCACAACTTGGAGAGGTTGGAAAATGTTTTGGCCTCAAATAGAACTTTTCACACACTGATCCCGGAAAGGCCAGGATGCACGGGGTAGACCAGTAGTGTGTCCCAGATAGACCGCGTGCCCCTGGCCTTCCTTCTCTCCAGGGAAGGTCAGGAAGTCAGGCCTGGCTCTACTTTGCAGAAGTTCTGATGTTCGACACTTTTTCCTGGACATATAGTGTGGCCTGACTTGGCAGTGACCCATGGGTGCAGTGAATACAGCATCTTTCAGCCCCTGTGCTGTGGCCCTGAGATCTTGTTACCAACATAGGACCTGGAGTACCAGGTGCCTAAGGAGATGCCCGGGGCTACAGCTCCTTTGTTACCTATTGAGAAACCGAGTGCCATAATGGAGAAGGATTTGCTCCGGGGCCCCTGGAAAGTGGGTGTTAGGACTGAGTTCTAGAGGAGCCTCCCACTCTCAGGCTGGCATCCAGGACATCTACTTAGTACCGCCAGGGTGAGGGGCACAGGAGGAGGTCCTGGGCTTGCATCCACTCTGTGCCCAGGGACTCATCTATTTACTTTCTTGGGGCTAAGTTTCCCCTGTCTAAACATCTTCCCAGGACTCCTGAGCAGATCCCAGCAGAACCTGGGAAGAATCAGTATGTGTGAAATGTGAAAGAGGTGGAAGGCTGACTCCCCAAGGCCTCGGGGTGGTCTGATCCTCGTGCTGGGCTAACCCCCATTCCTCTCTTTGCCCCTCAGCTGGTGTTCCCTCTTGAATGGTTTCCACTCAACAAGCCCAGCGTGGGAGACTACTTCCACATGGCCTACAATGTCATCACACCCTTTCTTCTGCTCAAGGTACAGTCACAGACTCCCTGCCCTTCTTTTTCACCTTGTCCCTTCCTCCACACTGCAGGGAGGGTGGGGAAGAAGGCTGTGACAAAGGGATATATCAAGGACCCACGGGGCAGGGCCGCTCTGGTGATAGGACTGGGGAGGGTCTCCCCAAGGAGGGGCATTAGACTGGGGCTGCCGCCCCGCATGCCAGGGGTGAAGTGGGAAAAGTGTTTTGGCAAAAGGACCTGAAGACAAGGCCATTTTGGGGAAGCCATAATACATTTGGGGAGGCCGAGACAGAAGGAGTGGTTGGTTGGACTGCACCATGAGAGGCGAGTGACCACTTGGAAGACAGGTGGGGGCCAGGTAGCCACCCCAGAGGGTGAACTCTATCCTCTGGCTTGGAGACTCCTCCCTGACTTTGGGATGTCAAAACATGGGAACCCAGAGCTTTGTACTTGGCCAAATAAAAGGCTTTAAGAACAACAACGTGTCTTCTACCACCACCATGATTTTGTTTTCATTCCCAACAATTACTTTGTGGCATGGACCAGTCACTCAGAAATCACAGGTCCCCTTCAGCAGTAGCCCAGCCACCCAAGGGCACAACTGGGGGTGGCGGGGGACCCTAGGCGGTGGTGGGGGAAAGCCCGGATGCCCACATTGAAGGCCTGGCTGTCACTTCCAGCATGTGGCTTGTGTGTGACCTTGGCCGAGGAGCTGGCTCCTTAGTCTCCTCACTGGGGAAGGGAGTGCTGTTTCCCCCAGTCCCTGCTGGGTTCACAGCGATCATGTGAGACGCGGGAGGTCTGGCCAACTCACTAAAGGGACCCACCAGTTTCTGAGTGACCCTCCAAGCCATTGTGAGGGCCGGACACAGGGTCTCGTGGTGGACGGTGGAAGTCACACCGCCGGACTCCCTTTCATCCCAGCTCATCGAGCGGTCCCCCCGCACCCTGCCACGCTCCATGATCTACGTCAGCATCATCACCTTCATCATGGGTGCCAGTATCCACCTGGTGGGCGACTCCGTGAACCACCGCCTGCTCTTCAGTGGCTACCAGCACCACTTGTCCGTCCGCGAGAACCCCATCATCAAGAATCTCAAGCCTGAGACCTTGGTGAGACTGCCTCCCCCCACTGCCCTGTGGACACAGTATGTCCTGGGGGCCAACACGATTGTCCCCCCCTCAGTGCGCCTGACCTAAAGATGCTAAAGGCATCTGCTAGGCCAGGGTGACCCACCCAGGACGCCCATGCTCACCAGAAAGGGTCCTGCCTGGGCCCCTCAGGAAGAGGCCCAGACCCGGGGGGAGGGGAGGGTCGGAATGAGTCAGGCAGTCAAAGGTAGGCCTGGGTGTGGGGGAACATGGCGAGGGGGTTGCTTGGTAGCCCAGCACCTCCCTGGAACATGTCCTTTTCTAACCCTGCTGTGTCTCTGCCAACCTTAGATCGACTCCTTTGAGCTGCTCTACTACTACGACGAGTACCTGGGCCACTCCATGTGGTGAGCGATGGGGCCCATCTGGAGGGACCAACAGCCAGTGTGACCCCTGGGGCCCTGGCCCCCAGCCAAGGCTGTCTCCAAGCATCTGGAATGCCTCTTTTCTGGAGGAGGGAGCTAGGCCTCTGGGAGGCCCTGACCACCAGGCCCTGCCCCTCCTCTCAGCCTGCAGTGCCTGAAGTGGCCACCAGAGGGCATGAGTGGCACGGTGGCTGCCCTGGTAGCTGGAGGTGGCCGGTGGAGGGTGCGCATGTCCAGGCTGATAAACAACCCTCCCTGCTCCTGGTTTCATGGGTTGGGGATCCAGAGTGGACCCCCATCCTGGCAGGCTGTGGTGTTGGGGATTGCAGGCAGGGAGGAAGCTGGAGCAGGTTGGATGGTGGGGGTAGTGCTCTTTGTGTTCCCTCCTCAGGAAGCCCTGCAGAGTGCTCCCACCCCTGTGCCGCCCGCCGCACACCGGGACACTTCACCAGTGTGGGCTCAGTCACATGAGACCCAGGGCTCAAGACGAGCAGTCACCCGTTCCAACCCCTACTCACACAGTGGTGCGAGGACAGAGTGGCAGACCCCGCTCCCACAAGTGGGGTCCATGGGAGGCAGGAGCAGGGACCCCAAGAGGGAGAGGCATATGGCAGGCAGCTGGCAGGTGTCAGGGGAGCCCCGGACTGGGGGTGCCCTCCTGAGGTGCACTCACTCGAGTCACACCTGCCCGACGCTTTGGTTTCTAAGGACTGTTCGGGGGCATTTTGGGTAGTTGACCCTCCTGACTCGGGGGGATCAGGGTCCCCAGACCATCCTCCTGGCCTCTCCCAGAAGCCCCTCCCATGAACGGTGGAGGAGGAAAGAGGACATGAAATACAGGCCAGGAGTGGGAGGGTATGGCTGGGGTGTGACTGGGAGTGGAGGAGGGTGGGGAGGAGCAACGTGGTACAGGAGAGAAGCGTGCGAGAGCCAGCAGGTGCGAGGGAGAAGCCGTGTGTGTGTGCAGTGGAGAGAGGGCGGTATTGGGGCGAGGCGTGTGTGAGGGGTGAGGGGCTCTAAGAGCTCCTGGAGGGCCTGGTAGCTGCTGTTCCCTCTTCTCCCTGGTCCGCAGGCCTCGGGGTCCTCAGCCCCTGGGCTCAGGGTGGCTAGGGCGTCACGGAGGCCGCCCTCGCCAGCCTCTGGGTCTGCACGTGCCAGGCTGCAGTACCATCTTCCTGCTTCCTGTCCCACAGCGGCCCCTTACACAGGAAGGCCTGGGCAGGGCCGAGTCTCCTCCCCGAGAGCGGGCGTTTTGTATGTCACGGGGTGGCACCGTGTGGGGAGAGGGCCTGGGCAGAGGCGGGCGGGCCCCTGAGGCACGGCCTCCCTGTTGCAGGTACATCCCCTTCTTCCTCATCCTCTTCATGTACTTCAGCGGCTGTTTCACTGCCACCAGAGGTGAGAGCGCAATGCCAGGGGCGGCCCTGCTCCTGGTGGCGCCCAGTGGCCTATACTACTGGTAAGTAGACAGCAGCATGAGGGCGGTGGCACCATGAGCCAGGCAGCAGGAATGTCTCCTGACCTCGGACCTGCCAGGTGGCTCCGGCTGAGCTTCTCCCTCTTGGGACCCTGCTTCCTTCCACTAGTGGGGGCTGGGGCAGTGCTGTGGGTGCCCTCGCTATTCCAGGAAGACACCCCTTCTCCTAGGACCCCTGGGGCGACAGAATCCACTCCCGAACCACACCCTTTAGAGCCCTGTGGGCCTCAGTCTTCTCTTGATGCCGAGGGATGTTGAAGACCTTGTTGGTGACAAGGACCGATAAAGGGGGACTTGCCCTAGCTCACTCTTCCCATTGCAGAGGACCAAACACTTCAACTCTTCTGTCCCTGGCCACAGACACAGGCCCCTCCCAGCAACTGTGAGCAGAGACACCCAATCCATATTTTTTAATGTTGTTTAAACCAACATTAAAAAAAAAAAAGCATGCACTTGCAGAGACATTCTGGGCAAAACTGGACCATTTAGATGTGTGTGTGTGTGTGTGTGTGTGTGTGTGTGTGCCAGTAGTTCCTACACCCACAGTGTCGCTGTGGCTCGACCATCTAGTGTGGTTCTGTAGCCCGGGGGACTGGGGCCCTGGGGAAATGGACACAGCATGGAAAGGCCATGCTCGAGGCTAGTGTTCCCACCTTGGTGAAACCCCCCGAAGCACACCTGTCCCAGGCTGCTGTGGCCCCTAGAGCGGCAAGTTCCCAGCCCTCTCCCTCAGCACTGCTGTCTGCCAGGGAGGGGGGTCCCTATGGGGTAGAGCATGGGGTGCAAGCAGGATCGCCCCCTCACCTCACCTGCCGGCCCCTCCAGGTACCTGGTCACCGAGGGCCAGATCTTCATCCTCTTCACCTTCACCTTCTTCGCCATGCTGGCCCTCGTCCTGCACCAGAAGCACAAGCGCCTCTTCCTGGACAGCAACGGCCTCTTCCTCTTCTACTCCTTTGGGCTCGCCCTCCTGCTTGTGGCGCTCTGGGTGGCCTGGCTGTGGAATGACCCTGTCCTCAGGAAGAAGTACCCAGGCGTCATCTACGTCCCCGAGCCCTGGGCCTTCTACACCCTCCATGTCAGCAGCGGACACTGAGTCCCTGGCGCCCACCACTGGTGTCCCGCCGGGCAGGGGATAGGCCGCGGAGGGCGTGTGCACATGGACTGTGCGTGTGTGCCCACGGCCACATGTGCCAGCCCGTGTCTAACTGAAGACATGGAATGGGTTACGTGTGCACACGGACGGTATCATTATAAGGCTCCATTGTCCGGTCAAGTTTCTTGTTCAGATCTCAGTTCAGGTCTTCTCGGGCGGGGCTAGTGTTAGGCAGCGTCTCTAGGCCGAGATCTGGGCCCTGCCTTCCTGTGCCCTGACTGGAACCAGGTCCCCCTCGCTGTCTCTGCTCAGGGCTGCTCTTGGCTTCTGGTGGCCGAGCGGAGGAGGCTTGGGCCGAAGCGAGGATGGGACTTGGTATTTGCCTTCCCACACACCTGTTACAGGCCTACAGTGACCTTGCCAGCTAGAGTGCACAAGTAACTCGAGGTTCTGAGTATTACTGAGCAGAACGTGTCCCCTTTGGGGCCTCCTCTGTATTCACTGGGCCAGTGGCCTCAAAATGGGTGAGTGGGCTGGTTGCAGATCCTCTTGGGCAGCCCTGGAATGGACAGAAAGTTCTATCTGCCTTGGATGGAGAATGCACACCTCAGGCCCTACGGGGTGTTGAGCCTCCCTGACATGGGAGCCCGAGGCAGCCCACTCCCGTAACCACCAGTCTGATCTGGGAATCTGGCCACGCCAGCCCTCAGCCTTCTCCCCACTGCCCCTGTGGGAGAGTTGGGGCACCCCCTTCTTGCCAGCCTAACTGAGCTTCTGTGGAAAATTAAACTCTTAAACACTCATTCTATTTTCTGAGCCCCAGAAAGGGGGGGGGGGCCTTCTTAACAGAGCACTCCTACTCTTCCCAGGCATTGGGTACAGGTCCTCTCATGCAGCGGCAGCCCCCAGCTTAATTTTCCAGCTGATTCCAACCCACAGGAGCATGCGGGACCCTCGGACCTGCCCTGCCTCCTTTCCTATGTTCTCAGGGAGCCCCAACCCTCAGATCCTCCTTTCATGTTGAGGTCCCTCTAGGTTCCCTTACAAGTCCCAGCCCCTGGTCTGCCCAGCAGCTTCAAGTGGTGAGAGATGGGAATAAATGTTGTACAGAGCCACATCTGGCCGGCGGCTGCTGCTTATTTTGGGTGTGCGCTGGGCAGGCAGGAGGGAGCTCTGTGGAACTAGGGAGAGAGCAGCTGTTCTCCCTGGGCAGGGGCCCTGGGCCAACCCAAAGGGCCCACTCGGCTCCTCTCTGGCCACGGTCAGGTGCTGCCACTGTCCACTAGCCCTCCATGCCACTCAGGATCCCAGGGTCCAGTGGAGGGCCAGAGGGCCTCTCCCCCTTCAGTCCAAGCTCTCTTCAGAGGACTGACTCTGGGAGCTGGTGAGGGGGTGGGGGGACAAGAGGAGCCCGAACCCAGTATCTCCACACTTGCCTCTCAGGGTTGTCACTTCGAGTGTCCCAGCTTTATTGCCAGCTCCTTCTGGAGGCTGGAGCAGAGAGGGTGCCCTTTGGGGGTATGGGGATGCTGGTTCGTGGGAGGTTGGCACTCAGCACCGGGCACGTCACTTGACTCCAAGGCCGCAACCTGACCGTGCGGGCACCGGAGACGTCCTGGGGCTGCTGGCTTCAAACAGCCAGAGGCGGGGCCGCCGCCTGCCCTCACCTGCCTGGCGGCTCATTTGGTTCCTCCAAACCCTGTCCCAGGCCCATGCCACAGACGCACCTAACAGACCTCCGGAGGCAGGGTCAGCCTGCCAGTGTGGGGCCTGAAGCTTAGACAGGGAGTCCTTGGGAAGAAACTTCCACGTAGTTAGTTGGTATCAGCACTTGCCAAGAAAGCACTTCTTTGGGGTAAGGAAAGCGAAGGCATGAGCGTAAATCTGGAAGGTGGGAACACTAATCAGCAAATTGTGCCTCCTGGAAGGCGTGTGCCTCCTGACTCAGCTCTCACGGGCAGTTTCCTGGAAACTTCCCTAGAAATACCTGATGGCAACCCAGTTTCACTGCAGCTGGAAAATAGCCAGTGGCCCAGAAAACACACATCCTGCCCCTTTCTCTCTCATGGTGGGCCCTCTGGGTTAGCAAAATCTCAGCCCCTCGAGGGACATAGGGGCCGTTTCTGTGCCCATGTTGGGTTGAGTTGTGGCAACCCAGCTGAGTGAGGAGTACGAGGTGGAGTTCTGTGGAAAGAGCCCATTCAGGCCCTCCCTGGTGACACATCTGGTTAGGACACAGCACTGCCAGCTGGCCATAACCACTTCAGTGCGCGTTTAATCCCTGCCCCCGAGGTGACCCACATGGCGTGGCTGACCTCTCCTGTCTCGCTTGCTGCTCCCCTCAGCAGTGCACTTTATAGATCTGCCTGTTCTGCTCCCCACTCTGTCTCTGTTGAAGCCTCTCACCGCCCCTGAGCCTCTGGCCTGTACCCCAGTTCTGTATGCATACATAAATACATCTTTAAAAAAGAAAGAAAGAGCCCATTCAAGTGGGCACCACCCCACACAAGGCCTTTAAGCCGATACCTTGCACCACCTAATGTAAGAGTTGGGCCCACCTAGTGGTGGGTGTATGGGTTGGGGTGGCCTTAGAGGCACTGAGCGCCACCCAGATGCCTAGCACACAATGGCCTAAATGCAAGGATATGCTTTGTTTTCCCCAAGACAAAGCTTTGCCTGCCCCCAAACACAGGGCGACCTGGACCAAGACCTTGTCCTGACCCACCAGGCCTTCCTCTAAGCTCGACTCTGTGCCCTGCCCTTCCAAGCCCTACCCCTTCCCTCCTCTCCTCTCCACTCCTCTTCTCCTGCCTCCCACACCTGGCCACCTTTCCCTCTGCCTCAGCAGGAGGGCTCGCAGCCCTCTAGCTGAAACTGGTTTTAGAAACAGGTGTGGAGACATGTTTTGGGGGATGCCTTTCCCCAAGAAAAGGAGGGAGTGGGGGAGAGTGGAGAAAAAGCAGACCCCGCCAATCTTTACGCCCCACACAAGCGGCCCCTCTTCCTCTGGGCACACACAGCCCCTCCCTGACCCTCCTTGTCCGGGCTGGGAGCCCTCGCGTGGGCACAACCTGCGGCCTTGTGTGCCGCCCTGACAGTGGAACCCCACCACGGGGCAGCCAGCAGCTCCAGGCAAGAAGGGTGAGAACCAGCTGTGCCCAGTGCAGCGGCCCCAGGGAAGCACCCCACCTGCCCTCACTTCTGGAGGGTGCGCAGCACAAAACCCTGAGAAACAGGCAGTGCCAGCTTCTGCCAGAAGGGACGCACTGCTGGTGAGGGGAAGGGAAGGAAGAAGAGGAGGAGGCCGGGCTGGGAAGGCTGCCCTCTAAGCCCTTCCTCCGAGCCTCCTGGGCAGTCTATGCTGTGGGGCTAGGGCTCACCTCCCACAGCTCCCTCCCTACTCGTTGGATACTCTCAACAGCCCTAAGATGCAGCCTGGAGAGGAAACTGAGGCTCAGAGCAGCAAATGACACGCCAAGCTCACTCAGCACATGGGCAGAGGACCAGGGTTGGATGCAGCCGCCTGAGAGCCCCAAGCCTCTGTGTCCCGTCTGGGGAGTCCCAAGGCTTTGGAGGCAGAGGTAGCTCCGACCGCCCGGACATCTGGCAGCTTTCATTGTCGCTGCAGGATGGCAGTGATGAGCTGTAAATAAGACAAGCTGCAAAGTGCCCAGTGACTAGTAGGAACTCGTCAGCCCCCAGCCTGGTCCTGGGGGGAGAGAGAAGGCCCCCCGAGGCAGGCCCAAGCAGGACCCAGGACTCCACCCTGTGTGTGTTTCACTGACCTTTTCTCAGTGTCCAGAGAGGGCTCCCAGGAACGAACAAGGGTGTTTGTCCATTTGCTACAGAGCACCAACTTCCCACACAGGAGCTCCTTCTGCAGCCTCTTCTCCTCAAACCTTCAGCCGGCCGGGGGCATCAGCTGAGCAAGGGAAGCTGGAATCTGACCCCTGGCATCAGGCCCGGTCTCCATGGCAGCGGAGGATTTATTACTAGGCCTCCACCCAGCTTGGCGGACTTTCGACTTGAAGCTGAGAGGAAGGGGAACTGAAAAGTCGCTTCTGGGAGCTGGAACGCCCGGGTGGCAGCCAGAGGCCCCGTGATGGTAAGTGGGGGTCTGCGTCACCTAGCCAGGCTGGCCCGGGCTGGGAGGGATGCTTTCACGAGTCCTCCCTGACGGTTTTCCTCTCTCTGCTGCAGGCCAAGTTTCTTTCCCAGGACCAAATTAATGGTAGGTTGGGTTTGCTCTTTAATTAGCAACTCACAGCAAAATATGGGTCTCATTAAGCAATTTGCTCTGCTTGTTCTTGTGCGTGGGAAGGAAAGCCACTGTGGGAGCACGGGGGCCGGGAGCCCACCCACAGGCTAGGACAGGCTGTGCCTAGGGAGGCCCCAACCTAGGGAGGTGAGGGTTGGGGGTGATACTCAGAGGTAGCAATGTCAGAGGTGTTCGGTGTGTCAGTGTGATTTACGAGTGCAGGTGATAGGAGACAGAGCTCCCTAAGTCTTTCTCCAGGACCAGAAAGTGGGATTTTGCTGGGGGAGGGAGGAAGGGAGAGGAAGGTTGTGGGGGACAGGTAAAGGGCTAAGTTGGAGGAGGAGAGAAACACCTTTAACTAGCTTTGGCTGAGGTCCTCACAAGAGGCAGGCTTTCCAATTGGCAGAGATAAAGAGCCCGCCAGGCAGTGTACTTCTACTGTCTGGGCTTCAGTCTCCCTGTCTGTCAGTGGGAGGTCAACATCTGTGGTCTCTGAGGCCCTGTGCCCTGCAGCAAGCCTAGTTTTGATGTTGTGGGCGCTGGAGGGCTTGCCCATCTCCCCACCCCAAGTAGGCTTCAGTTCTGCACAGCACACAGAGAGCTGTTTCCACAAGGCCAAGTGTACAGTTACACTGAGCTAGGGGCCCAGGAGGGCCCATGCAAGCTAACACAGGTCCTGGAGGTAGGTTAGGGTTGCCTGGGCAGAGATTCCCGAGACCTTGATTCCTGGAGAATTCTTGATCGAGAAGGACAGGCTTGTGGGTGTGTTCCAGGTTCCAGAGGCCACTTCCACATAGACCCTGGATTGCCTTACCCTAGCAGGAGGGTCAGACTAGGCCCCCGGGAGGGCCTCTCCGTGCCCAGGTGTCAAGGCGAGACCGAGTGTGTCCTAGGGCCAGCAAGGACTGTCAGCCTGGTCCTCGTGCACAATACCTGGCTCTAAGGCTCACTTCCCTCCTTGTAGGGCCCCAAGAGGGAAGCAAAGAAGCTTCCCTTTGTATTTAGTGTCTGACGCAGCATTGGTTCTTTCTGAACCAATGAAAGACCAGACAGAGGTGGCCTGGGGGGTGGTCACAACAGGGTCTTGGAGGTAGGTAGCTGACCTGGGGTGCAATCACTGCTAAGCCTTATTTTTTCTTCTGTGAAGTGGGGATAATGATGTCAACTTCCCAGGCTGCTGTCAGTGAAGGCAGAGAGGATGTCTCCCCTTTTGCCATCTGAGAAATTTTGTGAGCTGGTTGTTAAAATCAGCCATCATTAAAACACAGAGGATCAAACAATGTTCCAGTTCAAAAGAGTTGTGTTCTGTGGCAGGCAGCTTCATTTGCCAAATTGTGGTTGAAACAAAACTCTAGGTTGACAAAGGCTAAGAGAACTCACAGAACTCATGATAATCAACTGGCTAGATGGGGATTTACTGAAGAATATTGCACATTTTTAAATTGTTAGTAAAATGTGTAACAAACTTATGTGCAAAGATCAGGAGAGCCTGCATGTGTCTCCAGCATACCACAAGTATTTTCCTAGGATCCAGAAGGTCCCTTTCCTGTCCTGAGGCCTTTGCATTTTCAAAAGGAAGAGCTTAAGGGGGTGTTTAATCCAATTCATTGAACCCAATTTAGTCTTTCATTCAACAAATATATGTGAGTCCTGGCTTTCTGGCTGCCTGGTTCTAGACATTAAAGATGCTGCAGTGAACACAGAATGCAAATCCCTGTGCTCAAAGCATACAGCTGAGGGGGAAGAGAGGCCAGGAAAGGAATAAACTGGATAGGAATGGATGCTGGGGGGCTGAACCAGGGAGGAAAATGAGGAGATGTGGAAGTGGGGGTGGGAGGATAGGAAAACAGCACTGTGGCCTTGTTCCAACTCCAGAACCCCAAAAGCAGAGCTTTAGAAAGTGCATTTGCCAAGGTAGAAGATGTCGCTCATATAGCAGTTTATTAGATCAGCCTCCATTTCCCCTGGTCCTGCTGAAGTCCTGGGCGATGGGCCCCTAATTACTGAGGCCTGCTCTGAGGGACAAGGCAATTTGCCCATTGCTGAGCAAGGCTGATTCCAGGCCCCAAGGGTGTCCTGGGGGGGGGTGCGGGGGGGGGGGGAACTGATGACATTCATAGGTAAGGCCTCAGGAGGGCAGCAAACCCAGACAGAGGATGAGGTGAGAATAGTCCTGAGAGGACCCCCACAAGCAGTGGTGCACGGGGTGGGGGTGGGGTGTGCCTGGCGTTAAGCCCTACACTGGGCTGGCCCCTCCCAGGCCCACCGGTGTGAGATGTAGGGTTGTTCCCGCTGGCACTGGCCTCTTGGAGGTAATCAGGCTGGGCAGGAACCAAAGGTCAAAAGCTATGCTCTGACCCTGCTGCCCTAGACCACTCTGTTCCCTGCTGCCTGGTCCTGTCTTTGGGCTGCCCCTCTGGAAGCTGAAGACTAGGCTCTGGAAAGTTCTGAAAGTGTCGGGGGAGGGAAGGGGCTTCCTTTTCAACCTCTTCACAAAGGCCATTAATTGTCTCTACCTTCACCCTGAAAGCCAGCTTTTTATTACCTGGCAGGAATGGAGCCTGCCCAGGGGGAGGCCTTAATTAGGGAGCACCAAAGGCCCCTGGGCCCAGGCTGAGGGGTGGGGAGACTGCCTCTGCTCTCCCCCCCCCACTCTGCTGTCCTCTAACCTACCGCCTGGGGTCAAGGGTCCAGGGGTGGAGCTGTGTTTCAGGAGCTGCCCGCAGCAATGCCCGCGGCCTCCAGGCCCATCTCTTCTGGAGCAAGGAAGGCAACACCTTGCGGCTGCTGCAGAATCACACAGGCCAGGGGTGAATGAAGTATCTGCCAGTGGGGGCTGTCGTCATTGCTACCATCATCAACTCAGGAGTGGCTGGCCCAGGCCTTCCAGGGAGCAGCCTGGTAGTGTGAGAAGCAGGAGAGTGGGGGCTGGAGGCCGGCAATGTGCCAGGCAGATTCCCCTGTGGGATTGCAGCGATGGCTCCAGGCACTGGACAAGAGTCACCTGGGAGCTGCTGACCATTTCTGAGGGCTACCCCACCCCAGTCCCTGACTCAGGTCCTGAAGGGGCCCAGAGATCTCCCCTAGTACTCACCCAGCCTCGCATGTTTCCTGGGCAGGGAGCCCCCGACAAAGGTGCAGGAGGCAGCTCCATGGGGCTGAGGCTGTACCCAGAGCAGCCTTTTCATCTCCACCAAGTACCAGGCAAGAAGGTGCTTGGGAGGGCAGAAGGCCACAGCTAGCCGTGCCCCTGAAGAACGGAATAGATTGAGAGTTCAGGCCAGGGCTGGAGCAGCTGACACAAAGGTGCCCACAGTTGTTACAATAACTGTCACCACATTTAAGGTGCCTGGTCTTCCCAGAGGGAGTTTCTGGTCTTTTCACTAGCCCAGTTCCCCAAATAAGTTGTCTTAGCAAAGGTCCCCTGGGAATATGGATGCCCTGCTGTGGCCTCCTTGTCTCACTGGGCAGGCCCTAGAGGATGAGGAAGCTTTCCCGTGACTTTAGTCAGCTGTGGAAGGGAGAGGGAAGGAAGTGGGGAGACCAGAGAAGGAAGGGAGGAAGAAGGAGCAGAAAGAGAGAGTGCAAAGAGTCAGGAGAGGGAGGGGGGTAGGGTTGTAGGAAAAAATACTGGGTACCAGTTAAACAGGAATTCCAAACATACCTTTTTTTAGTATAAGCGTATCCAGTGCAAAGTTTGGGACCTACTTATACTAAAATGTATTCATTTTTTATCTGAAATTCAGTTAAACTTGGTGGTGTGGCTTTTTTGTGTATCTGGCAACC